AAAACTAAAGTAACGAGCCAATTTTTTAAATGTAAGGAGTAGAAAGTACAGATATTTGTGTAAAAATGTAAGGAGTAGAAGTAAAATGTCGCCATAAAAATAAGCAGTAAAGTAAAGTAAAAATATCAGAAAAATCTACTTGAGTACAGTAACGAAGTATTTGTACTTCGTTACTTCCCATCTCTGAAATTTACTCATCAAAATCTTTCAGTTAATCTGGTAATAGTAAGTAGTTTATATAGCTGGTTATGCAGGTGGGATCCCTGAGGGCTGATGAGAGGCGGCATGGCTGCAGGTGGAGCTAATAAAAGATAAGGCCAAAATGCCAAAATAACAATTTCCAGAAACATGGCAGACACCTCACAGTTGCTACACAGTAAAGCTCTGATGGTTTTAATACTGAATACGACTGCTTTATATGCTTCAGTGAATCATTCTATAGGTTCAGAGAAACAAGGTCTGAACCTAACAGCTCTGGTTACTTTGTGTTTGTTGCAGCTCTGAGTTTATTCATCGCTCCTGTTTCTATTTCAGTCTTCCTACCTTCATTAAAACCCACTTCAGTCTGATTACGTAATTTAAAAAATGTTTTAAATAAAACCACAATTCTTTGAGTTAAATAGTCACAGAAAACCTTAAATGTCAATTAATATTTTTTTTTATTTGTTAATGTTTTAAGGAGGACTCTAAATTTGATCTATGCCATGTTTTATGTGTTCAAGTTTTGAGGAAAAACTTGGAGTTCAGTGAAAAAGTGTTTTAATGAGCCTCAGTGTCTAGTAACCAAGCTGATAAACAGGATGAGTTGCTGTAACGACTGGATGAAGTCAGATAGGGGTTCCTTGTTGTATGGCAGTGAACTAACTTCTAAAGCCGTTTTACTTTTACTCCTCTCAGTGGACTATTGTTGTCGAGATTAAATAATTTTTAATTAATACAATAAATATATGATAAGGGGCATTTGTTAAATCTCTTTTAGTTCAGCATTCAACATTTTAATGTATTTAAAGTAGTTAATGTTTGCTTTTGTAGAAAATACCTGAACGGCCAATGATGCTCTCTTCGTGTGGTAATGTGGCCTTTTTTTGTCGAGTTGATTGCATGTCATTTTCTAATTTTGGGTTTTCTTTATTTTTGAACTTACTTGTTAGTGTCATTTTTGTGTGTTGCATGTGTTTTCTGATTTTGTTTGGAGGTCACATTACCACTCACACCTGGACACGCCCACAGCACAGGTGTTCTCCATCAGCTGAGCAGCATACAGACAGTGGTCTTGGTGATAAAAAGGCAGCTGTTTGGTTGGAGGGCAGAGACACCGGACATGGGAAGCCGAAGCACCGATCATGGAGGGAGCCGGACAGAGCGGGTGAGCAGGAAGCAGCGCAGGTTTTAAAGACTGGTTGCCGCAGCACGCGCTGGAACGAGGTGCGGAGGCACGCACCGGAGAGATGCAAAGAGGCGCGCACCGGAGCGCGGCGCGCACCGGCATTGCTGGAAAGAAGCGCGTGTTGGAGGTGACCTCACTAAGACCAGCTACGCTGGGGAGGCCCACACGCGCAGCGTGCCGGAAGGAGGACCCAACGCTGGGGTGGACCGTGCCCTCCATCGTGCCCGCCAAGGGCGCATCTTTTAATGGACCGCGCCATTGACCCATGGACTCTGCTCCCTTTATCACCTGCATTTTTATCTATCTTTTTCCTTTTACTTATTTTTTAGTGCACTGTTTTTAAATTATTTATTGAACTTTTAAACTATTAAAATTTTTTTAAAGCTCTGCTCACAATCGCCGCAGTCTGTTTTGCTTTATGGGTTTTTGTTAGATGATCGCACCTCTCGGGTGCTCCTCTCAGATCAGCTGTGATCACCTCTGGTTGGTCAGCTGGTCAGAGCGCTGATGGGAAGATGTGGATGGAAGGAGGATGGAGTGAACCTTTCTATGGAGCTTTTAAAGACAGCAGAAGAGTTCCACAATGCGCATCATGCAATTAAATAAATACTCAGCAAATTATGAATTGGAGAGAAGTGTAGTGCGTGCTTATAACCCTGAGGGCTGGTCTGTACATGA